GTACATTGACCTTTAAAAATAGGGAGTTTTAAATTGTTTTTCCTTTTTTGACCTGAAAAGTGTATGCAATGATCTTTTTAAAAACATTTAGACCATTTCAAAGCTAGCAAGAACCGAAAAACACATTTGCAGCTTTTTTAAATAGTACTTTCTTATGCTTTTTTGACGTTAAAAACGAAATACAAAGTAAATTTTTAACAGCAAAAAAAAAATATGTTTATGTAAAACTTTTTAAAATTCATTACATACAAAAAAGAAAAAATATAAAAATCTTGGTATTTAATGATTATTTTCGGAACCTGGTTTAAGCATACTTAAGTTATGTAATTTATATTCCATAAATATACATAGCAAATATCATCGGCGTAATTTCTACAGATACTTTACTGAATGGTATTTGAACTAGGAAATCAAGTTTTAAGAACCTAAAAAACGAAATCTCGTTCAATGAAATATCGGCACGAAAAGTTTTCCATTTTGCGGGACAGAAAGCAAAATAATTTTACAGTTAAATACGGATGATTCCGTGTCTGCTAGATTGCTAGTTTATTTTCTACTCCTATGCCTGAAATGAGCTCACAATAAAGATTAATGCAAGTTAGAATCGGGGCGAAAAATTAGAATATACAGTGGCGAAAATAGAAATAGGGAAGATACATTTTAGAAATCTCTGGCTATTTCAGTTTCGTTTATTTAATGTTTATAACTTTTTTATATAAGTATAGCTCGTTATCTAAACTTTGTACAATAATTAGGAAAATTCGACAAAGATTCATACAAATTTTTAGGTTTTTAATTAGATTTCTTAGAAACTTTCTGAGTATGCAGTTTTGTAGCTCATTCAATTTCGGTAAAATAAAGTGCAAGACGGAAGTAGCTAGGACTTACCGTTGATTTTTGGCAATTTTGTTTGTGGAAGGTGTTGCCCAATTCCTCCATACAAAAAGATTTTCGAATATATTTTGTAAACATCAATGGTAAGTCCAAGCTGATTCAACCTTGCACTTTATTGAACTAAAATTTAATGGGCTAAAAAACTGCGTATTCAAAAAAAAATTGTAAAAAATCTGAAAAAAAATTGAAATTTCGATTAAAATTTGTTAAATTGAATTTTTATAAATGTTCTACAAAGTTTCAAATTTCGATTTAGATGGTTTTTTTATGAAGCTGTATTTTCATAAAAAAGAAACAAAAAAATTCAAACAATGAAAAATAGCCAAAACTTACTAAAATATCTAGTTCCTATTTTAATTTTCGCAACCGATAGTTTGAACAGGGAGAAGGATTTTTTTTAATGGTAAAAAACGGCGCCATCAGCTAAGTATAGTTTTTTCTTTTAATGTTTGCTGATTTGCTGTGCACCAACACTAAAATCATTAAAGGTTTCACGAACACATTCAGAACATTTCAATGACTATTAATAAAAAGTAATTTCGGTAATACTAAGAAATATTATTAGTTATGCTACTTTACCTTAGTACTCCTTATGCCTATTTATGTATTAGCGTAATCACATGCCGTAAACTACTTAACTGCCATGGCCTTACTGCTGTTGATACAATTTACTTACATAAATAACACTAATGACCACTCGGCAAGAAGGTAGGCGGCCAAGCATAGATGCATACACACATACATACATACGTATGTTTACCATGCCTATTAAAGAGGTGCGACTGCCCAAAAACGATAATCCTCATCAAATTCACCAGCACTCAATCAGACAAAGCTCTCAGTGAGGCACAACCACCCTTTCACAACCACGCGTCTGGCTAGTCTGCCGCCTACGATATTTATTACTTTTTTCCCTGCAACGTGCTCGCCTTATTTCTTGCCATTACTGCTGTTACTGCCATCACGCGCTGAAGCATTTGTGTTTGCATTCGTTTTACTGTCACTGTCACTGTCACTGTCACTGTCGCCGTCATTACTTTGACTGCCATCACTAATATCGTCATTACTATTTTTATTGCTGCTGTTGCTACCGTTGTCATTGTCATTGTTAGATCGCCTATATTTCGGTGCTATGTAGTAGAGCCCATCCTGCTCGCCTGTCACGGTTAGCTGTGGCAATTGTGGCGGCAAACGTTGGTAGGCGTTCGGCCGATAGATGGGCGAATAGACCTGCGGTCGCACCACCTGCGGATGCGAAATATATTCACTGTCCGGATTGATGGGTGGCAACGGTTGCCGGTAGTTCACGAGTATATCACGATGCAATGGTATTTGTTGTGGTTGATATTGACGTTGCGGCGCTAATTGTTGTTGTGGCGCGTAGTACTGCGATTGGTGGGAAAGCGGTGGCGGCTGCGGTTGCGGCGCGTTATAACGCTGTAGTTGCGCGGCGTAGGGGTTTAGCGGCAAAGCCGGCTGGTAGGGATTAATAAACTCGGCGTCGGGATTGAGTGGTGGCCGATTTGGTGCGTAGTTTACGTAAGTGTCATTCTCTAAACTCCAAACGGTTTGCGGTGGCTGTTGCTGCTGTTGTTGTTGTTGCTGGTAGTTGGACTGTGGCGGCGATGGTGGTGGTGGTTGCCGATAATTGACTATGCGTCGCGCATTTATTTGCTGGAACGGTTCTTCATAGAAACGATTATTTTGACGCGCATGCAGCGTTGGGCCGCCATAGTAGTAGCCGCTGAATCCACGCTGCTTGGGTGAAATGCCCGGCGGCGGACGCTCTATACGTTGATATTGAGGTGGCGGCTGTTGCGGCGCCGGTGGTGGAGCGTATTCACTCAACTCTTGCTGTTGGTTTATCGAGACCCATGGCGTTTGGGTAGCGATATGCGTGCGCGGTGTGCTCGGATATTGTGGCAGCTCCTGGTCAGCCGAGCGATATTCAGGTGCCACAGGCGTTTGTTGTAAATACTTTGCACCTACACGTAGTTTTTTCGGACGACCTTGCCCAACTGGCGGTGATTGCTGCTGCTGATATGGCGTATCGGGTTGCACCGGCACTAGCGTGGTGGTTGAGTGATAACGCTGTTGCTGTTTTTGTGGATATGGCTCCTCTTGCTGACGGTTTGCATTCGACTTCTCTACGTCAATTGCATGGAATGAATTCTCATCATCCACTGGTGGACTGTAGGTGACCATTGGCTTGAAGGGCGCTTCGTCATATTCTGCTGGCGGTTGAAAGTCACCCGCGTTCTGCGTTGGTTGAGCTGGTTCCAAGTTTTTGGATGCGTCGAAACTGAACTCGTATATTGGCTTGGCTTTGGGTGTGCGCGGTATACTGTTGTCACGCAATTGTTGATTCTGGTAGTAGCGCAGCGTTTCGCGTATCGCATTCACCTCTTGTTCGAAATTCTCCAGTGGGCGTGGCTTGTAGACTGGCCCTTCTACAGGCGGCGGCGGCGGTGGTGGTCGTTTATAGCGCACCGCCTCCGGTTTGGGTGTGATGTAAACCACATTTTGTGGCAAGTATTGTCGTTGTGGCTGCAGCTGTGGTGGCAAGTAGTTACGTTGGTTCTGCGGCTGGGATTTGAATGGTCGCTTACTGGTCGCATACAGCTTTATCGGCTTAGCCCGCACAGGCTTCTCTGTTGTGGCGAGGAAATCGTCAATAACATTCGTAGTAACACCACCAGGTTGACGTTTAGCCTCAAAGTATTCGTAGTAAATAGGATTGGATTTCGAAAGTGTGTCCTGGTTGTTGCGTGGCGTTGTACCTTCAAAAGCGATGGCATTTGGTCGCGGCTGTGGATATTTGTTGGAGGGAAAGATGGGTATGTGCACAGCAACTGGCACGGGTATGGATTGGATGACCTCGGGTGGAGCTGCGGTTGGGGAAGGTGCCGGTGGAGGTGGCAGCTTGCTCGGTGGCACCACATGCGGCGGCTCTGGTGTAATGATAATTGTTTTTGGCGAATATTGATGTATTTTCGTGATGACTTGCGGTCGATATGGCGCCTGAGTTGTTGTCGAGGTGGTTGTTGTTGTTGTTGAAGTGGTGGTGGGGGTGGTAGTTGTTGTGCTTGAAGTACTTGTAGAAGGCGTACCATAACCACGATGCCTGGGTGGTGGAGGCGCATTCGTTGTATGTACTTTGTCTGACTTTTCCAGACGGCTGAATTGATTAGCAGGCGGTGGCAACACAATACCCGGCACAAGTGGTCCCGGCGGCACCGGGTTGCTGTAATTACTCTTGTAAACAAAAGTGTATGCAGGTGGGTAATACAAGGATGGATCATCTTCGTCGAAGTAGTCAGTGCCATTCGAGTTCTCCAACGAACCGTTACGTCCAAGTGGGAAAGGACCCAAATTGGGGAATGTGATGGGCCGCGCATTGCTCAGGAACGGATTGACAAACGTTTGGTTGTGATAGAGCCACGGCGGGTAGGGCGCCGGGTAGAGGTAACCCGGGTCGCCTTGTGCAGCATCTTGAGACGATCCCGGCCGGGTAAGAAGATTCTTCTCGTTGTCACTATCACCTTCGGACGATGCGTAGTTGGCTTCCGGGCCGGCGGGATAAACTGGTATCGATTCGTTAGCGACCGGATAGACGACCGTGAATTTATTATTTCCGATAAACTGTAGCGGGCCATTCTCTTCGAGCTGGACAGGAAATGGTGGCGGCACTTTCGGATTCGGTGGCAATTTGATTTGCCTACCGGGCGCATCGTAATCATCGATGGGCGGCCACGGTTCATCCGGTTCGCCCTCATTGAGATTACCACCCTTGATCACAAGCAAATGATCTTCAGCCAACCAGATGTCCTCTTCATTGAGGCCACCAAAGGTGCGTTCATTATCTATGGGCGTCTCCTTATTCGGCAAGTAACTGATTACACCAGGCCGTTTAGGTGGACGACGAAATAGCTCTTTTTCAATCAAACCATACTTGCCGTCACGCACTTGATCGGAAAGTGTTTTCTTCGATTCATCTTTGTTCTTCTTCGATTTGACTGTGTTCTCCTTTCCAGAGCCGGCGCTGAGTCGCAAGATACCATTATCCCAATTATCGAATTCTTCCGCATCTTCCAGTAGCGCCTCATCGTCATCGTGATCTCTTCTCAAGTAAAAAGGCTTTGCAGTTGTGGTCGTTGCTGTATTTGTTGTTGCTGCAGGAGTGGTGCTCACCTTAGCCAAACGATAGGTACTGCTCATAGTTAATTGTCCCCCCTTGGAGCGTACATATTGATATGTAGGCTTGTGGGTTGTTGTTGAATTAGAGATAGTGCTGTTGGCTGTGACGGCGGAGACTTGAAATGTCGAACGGCCCTCGGAGTTTTGTATGTGACCCGCTACGAGTCGATGTATCATGCGCGGCCTCAAGAAATAGTAAAAGGTGAAGAAAAAGTGGTTGTAAATGGTAATTGGTATTACATCTGTAAATTGTTTGCAATAAATTTTTTAAATAACGTAAAATGGCCAGTGAAAGCTTTCTGACAATATTTAATAGCGTAAGGATGATTTTAATTGTGAATTGAAAAAAGTTGTGATAACTAAAATGGGGTTGGGGGAAAATGATTTATATTGAGCTTAGTAAGTCAGACCAATTGCAATCCACGGGTCCTTTGTAAGGTGGAAGGCTCCAGGCAAAGGGAACGACATAAAAATAATAGGAAAAGTGCAAAAACTCGCATGCCTTGGCATATTATATTACGCCTGCTTGGGACTTAAATACGAAGATACCCATTAGGTTCCCGACTAGCGAAGAATGGGATGCAGGACTGCCAGTATCAGAGAGGGGTATATCCATTTACACTGACGGTTCAAAGATGGAACAAGGAACTGGAGCCGGTGTCTACTCGAAGGACCTGCAGATCAACCGGTCGTTTCGTCTACCGAAATGCTGCAGTGTTTTCCAATCGGAGATTTGTTGACAGTAAGGCCGCCCTCTGGCATTAGGACCTAAAATAGTGAAATCGGGAATTGTATGGAAATGTCACTAGGCCGTACCAACGTCACTCTATGCAGGGTCCCCGGACATAGCAATATTGAAGGGAAAGAGTAGGCTGAGAGATGGCCAGATGTGGTTCAGAAATTCCAACAGAAGAAGCGGATAGCTCCGTACTACCACCGTTTAGTGATCACGCTAGGAAAATTAATGAATACACCGTGGCTTTGACGAATTAGTTGTGTAACAAACGGGAAGACTGTGAGGCCACAAGATTATAATGACCGCGGCTTAGTAGGAAAAAGACAAGGGACATACTGAAACTCAATAGATCTGCAGTAAGAGTCCTTACCGGCGTCATCACAGGATACTGTGCTATAGCACCAATGCTTTAACGGTGGAGAATAACAACAAGTACTCTCTGCAGACGCTGCCATGATGAGGATCAGGAAGAGACAATTGCCCACTTTCTGTGTGGATGTCCAGGTCTACCGAAGAAGCGCCTCAAGCACTTCTCTCTCTCTCTCTATACTCTTTGAATTATAGGTACTTGTCTTCTCCTGACACTCAATTAAATAGGGAACTCACAATGGACAATTCCGTCTCCACACACGCCCTCCTAACCTAACCTAACATACTACTCAAAATCTAAAGAAAAGCAAATGATATTTATGGATGACGCTTACAAAGTTAGAATGAAAATATAGTATTCTCCTCAGAAAATGAGAGGAAAACGGACGATTATTGTTCATAAAAACATACATGTTTTTACAAGCACAGCATTCTTCAAGGCGATCTTCAAACAATCGAGGATAGATTTTCTTTCAGACATCAATATGTGCATTATCATATTTGAACTTTTTTCCAGCTTCCAATTTTCGATTTTCCTTCCCTTAAATCGCTCAAATTACGCACTGTGCGACGCCAACGTCGACATGGCGGATGAACTAAACTCCGATACAATGTAGCCATTTTGAAAATATATTTTGAGATAAAAAAAAATAATTACTTCTATCGCAGGTCATGGTGATTACCATGTAAAAATTATTGGGCATTTAAGGGTTGTCAACAGGAGCTGTTTTTGCTCGATAGGCAATTGAAAAGCAGAACAATATTTACATACGTTATACAAATCTCTCATCATGTTTCTTATATGGCGCAGAAACTTGCACGATGTCGCAGAAAGATGAGAAGTCTTAGGGGCCCTCGAGAGAACTATTCCACGCATGATCTATGGCCCTTTCTGCGTGGGTGACGGGACCGAAGAAGATGGAATGACGAACGGTACAAGCTTTTTAATGACATGGACACAGTTAGACGCATATAAACACAAAAACTGTACGCATGGATTACGAGACTCCAGTCAAAAGTCTTTCGACTAGGCACCCATGGGTGGACAGCGAAAGAAACCACGTCCACGAACACCTGGAAGGACTATGTGCAGAACGATCTGTCAGCACTTGGGGTGCACAACTGACACAACCCCGCAAAAGAGAGAGGCAATTGGCGAAGTTGTAGTGCCACATATTTAAAGAAAAGAAGGATTAAGGAGCGAACTTTTCAGACAACTTTACATCAAATGTAATTTCCGTCTGGGGGTATTTATATTATCCGCTACTATATATATTAACTACATTAGTACATATTCGACAGGGTAATTACTTCATTCCCGATTAGGCCACTCCTTCGATTACAAGCCACGCCCCGCTTATTTAGCTGCGGCTTCGGTACCGAAACGACTGCTTTATCTCTCCTTAAATCCCGGAACTGAAGCTGATCATTAAAGCGTTAAGTTTGTGTTTAACCATTTACAACGCTAGTGCTTGACCCACAATAGCCTCAACTACCCACCATTATTACAAATCATGTGCAACAAAAACAATGAAAATATGTAAGCAGTAAATCGCGAAATGCGCATCGTAAATCGCCAATCGCCAATCACTTGGCCGCGGCGTATGCTGGTTTACTAAATAAAAATGTCTAAAATGGTAACTCACGTTTTTGGTGTTTGTGGCAGACGCGTTGAATTCGCCTTTCCGACATCGCCGACGCCACCGCCACCGCCGCCGCCATTGTTGTCTGTCTGCTGCTTCTGTGCTGGCGTCGCGCGTTGTACGTTACTTTGCACCGCAAAGGTGGCGATTTGTTTTGACTGGCGCTGCAGGAGTGGTTGATTGTGTTGATTCGTCACCGCATCGTTTGGCGCGGAAACTATTGATGACGCTTGACGCGAAACGCCATCGTGACGATGAGTGTTCAGCGTAGCCACCGTTGCAGACGTCACAGATGGCGACAATGAAGCTGTTGATGGCGGCATTGCCGATATTCGTGCTGCCTTAACGGTTGCGCTCGTGCGCGCTGCTTTGATGGTGGCATTTTGTTGATTGTCGTTGTTGTATTTATTGTTTTTATCTGCGCTGCTATTGCTATTGTTTTTGTTATTGTATTGTGTCACGCGCTTTATTTGGCTGTTGTCAATTTGTTTGTTGATTTTGATCGTAACAGCACTCCTATCGGCGGTGTTCGCTACCACCGCATCCGCACCGCTCGTTTGAGAGTTTTGTGCTGCAGCGGCGCTCAAATAGCTACGATTTTGGCGCACATTCGTCGTTGTGCTTCTTCTATCAGCAGTGCGCGCCAGCCAAGCCGTAGTAGGTGCCGCGGCGGTATTTTCTTTAGAGCCGCGCGGCAGACGACGCGCTGTATGTGTTTGTGTCGGCTGCCTTGTCGTGGTTAGCGCCACCGCTTTAGTTGTAGTTCTTGCTGTTGCTGGCGCTCTTGTTGTTGGATGCGTCATCACTGTGGTTGGTCGCGGTGTGCGCATTAATCGTGGCGCACGCAACGATGGTGGCTGTTGTGTTGTTGTTGACGTGGTACGTTTACCAATGTGCGCGGAAGTTGACTTCTCTAGCTCCGCCGACGCATACACTGTTTTCGGCTGTAGCGTGTCAGCGCTGGTGTGTTGCGATAATAGCAACAACAACAACAGCGGCAGCAACGGAAGTAACGAAATAAAGTGCAAGGCCAACGACTTCATCTGTAAGGAAAAGTAACAAACAAGAAGCATATAAACTATGTAATGTTAGTGCAACGGATATGAGTTAATTTGATAATATAAATTTATTATAGACAATAGGCATTTAGGTTTATGAATGGAAGTGTTACAAGTGAACACAAGCGCTTGCACTTATTGTTTCAACACCAGAGGTATGCCGCTCCTGCAACAAATTGCTGCAAATAACAACTAGCCGACGTTAAGCGCGTGCTAGCCCATCTCTTTCAACAACAAAATCCATATATTAATATACGCAGATCCCCGCCAGTCGTCATGCCGCATGCCTATCACCTGACATATGCATGAACATAAATGTTTAGCTCAGCTCTTACTGGCACGAGTCGTGCAGCGCGTCGAAACGATTTATGCTAATTAGCGGTAATGGATTCAACTATCTAACAATTCATGCAAGCACTTGGAAATACACGGACGTGCTAAAGTTTTGGCAGTCTAGGCTAATATATATGTAGGTATGTTGTTTCTTTGCTTGCTGGCTGCCCCAGCTACTCTGCCTGTATGACTGCCTGTTCGTGTGGCTACTCATCTCCTACACTCGACGACAGCGTTGGTCCCCTTTCGGCTAGACGTTTTGTCTGTATGCCAGTCTGCATGGCACGTGTTGCATAAATTTCAACATTGAAGGTTGGAAGGAAGAGCGCTTTTATGCTTGCAATAATTTAGTTTGAAAAATAAGACATGAGGATGCGAATACCGTTTGAACGGTTGGGCAATTTTTAAACAGATAGGGCTGGTTTTTCCTCCTCAACTTAACTTAGTTTAGCTATTTTTTGGACTTAGTCAAGAATAAGCTGATTAAGGCAGTCTGCACATGGGTCGTATAGCTTTAGACGCGTATTAGATGCTACATACGAACGTTGTACGCTTTGATGCCGCACACGTGCATTTAAATGGAGGGCGGTATACGAGTGCTCAGCTTCACGAATTCGTCAAAGCAAGCTAGCTGCAAATCGCTTGGCGTACAGCAGTGCTGGTAGCTAGGCATACGTACGCTTAGAAAAGAGAAAGAAGAAGAAGTTTGTTTACAATTTTCCGCGTGCATGCATTTCATTAAAAAAAAAACGATAAAACAATAAAATCCGTGCAAATAATAGAAAAATAACTGAAAATTAATTAGAGAAATAATAATTTTGCATCACTTGACATTTTTTGCCTGATACTTTGACGCTTTGAAGTTCCTTCGTGTGCAGATCTTGAGGGGTAGAGGACTCGGTGCTGCATAAAAAATTTTATACGCGTCTAAAGCTATACAAACCGTGTGCAGACTGCCTAAGAAGTAGACTAACTTTTGGCTTAGGTTAACCTACTTTTTAATCAGCCTATTCTTGACTAAGTCCAAAAAATGGCTTAACTAAGTTCAGTTGAGTTAGAGAAACCAGCACAAAAAGCCCATCAGGATCGGAATCGTAACAACGACCAAAGCCGATGACTAGCGGCTTTGTGGTATTGATAAGTAATAGTAACGACAAAGGCTCTGGGAGTCTTGATTTTAAAGCATCATTTAAGCTATTTTTTTACCCACTTGAAAACACTTTCGAACATCCAAGTAAGTAACCAGTCTCCCAAGCTCTTTTAAATGTGCATAGCAGTTTAGATGAAACTAGATTTGCCGTCCAAACAATCCAAACTCCGAGACGAACATACAGTGGTTGAAACAATTATAGCCGCACCACATATTATAAAGATTTTGTTGTTCAATGAAATTCTGAAATAGGGCGTTCTTAAAGCGTTTTCTGAGATAAGGCGTTTTGGGACTGGCTGCCGAGACAGATCGATCTTCCGATCGAGCAGCATCGCTCTCTTTTGGCCATTTATTACGTATTTAGTAGAGTAGTGACTCGGCACCCTCACTAGACTTTTTAAGAAGTACTCCGACGCGATTGATAGAGAGGCCAGATATTCCTTTACTGATTTCGAGTGCACTATCACACCGTTTAGCAGTGAGTCTACCGCTTGCTTGATGACAGCAATTTCTACCTGAAAGACGCTGCAGAAGTCCGGAAGCCTGATCATCAACCCGGTCTCCAGGTTTTGATCCGTCTTCTCTTGAGGGAATATTGGTTGAGAAGGAGCTTCTGGGAGTCATTTCGGAGGAGCTGAAATCTCTGTGTTGAGGGCGAAGTCAAAGCCCTCCAGAACTCCAGAGTGTTACCACCCGGTTTCCGTGAGCCTAATAGCAATTTGTGCTGCGACAATTCCGCTTGCCGACTTTATTTTATTTTAATTTTGCCTATGGGACAAAGCACTGTGAACGGGTCCCCGACGACTTGTAGGGTTTGCACGAATTTATCCCCCAGGCCGTGCGACGATCGTTCAGAAGATTGCAAAGAAGTACATTTGACTGTATTGCGAAGTACGAAGTACAATAGCTAAAAAACGTACTTTACTTTCGAATGAAGTACCGTTGGTCACATTACGTATGACCGACTCCGAACGGCTTTGACGGATTTGAAGCTGTTTCTTGGGGCATAAATACACTCGTAGGTTTGCCATTGCCTGCCGAGGGGCGAACACAATTTGAAAAAACTTTTTTTTTTTTTTTTTTTTTGATGTTGGTCTGAAACTGGGCTCGAATTCAGGCCCTGCGGAATGGTAGCGCGCACTGCTAACCACTACACCAAAGCGGCCGCCGGCATTAATAATTTTACTGAATTTAATTTATAATTTTTCTTTCCTTTATTATGAAGTTAGTATGTATACATAGATATGTTTGGAGACCAATGGCGATACGGTGACTCGCCTCCAGGCAAATTAAGGTACATACCACAGCAGAAAAGTTAAATGCAATAAGCACAATGTAAAAACTATATAGCGCTTAGCTTGAATGCAATTAATTAGATCTAAAATCTAAATTTTTTCTTTACTGCATTTTAAACCAGTTTTGGACAACTAAAAAATATTTTGGCTGATAGTTGGTTGTTGGCGTTGCTCTTAGCCGTCCGTAGTTGCAATTTCAATGGACCACTTCACAGTTTGTATGCCACAACAACGAGCAGCAAGTATAAACTAAATAGTATGTGAGCTGGTATGAATGTATGTATGTACTATGTATATACAAGCGTTTGTTCATTGGTCTTATGGCCTGCATAACGGCAACATAGCACTAACGGAGCAACAATCTGAGCTAACTGTCTTAGGAAAAAATAATTCGAATTCGAAAATTTTTTACTGTATGAATTGGTATTTTTTGCTTGTTACTTTGTGATTTTATTTTGTTTTTGTTTACTTTTTGTAGCTGTATGGCTTTCAGCCAACACTGTCAATCATGTCGCCTGCCG